AGAACAAGACTCTTTCTACTTTTATACCGGCGTAAACTATAGGAAATTACAAGTATATTTTACTAAGGCGGGCTATGCTTATGTAAACACTAGAGATACAGATGGAAATACGTTCGAATACTTCTTAACAAATTCAAGAAGCTATATGGCATACCATTTTAAAACAATATATTTTTACATATATTAAATGCTTCAGGTTGAAAGAATACGGTGGAGCCAAAAGTGGCTCGACCTCAAAACAAGCATTTTATGAGCTTACAAAGGGTGTTATGAATGAATTCAGCAACATACATCCTGACCTCGTTCATTTTGTTGCTAAATTCAGTAAAAATAATGTTTAGGTGAAGAGGTGACATCTCACCCGTTTTCTCACCTCTTTTCTCACCTCATGAATTTTCATGAATTTCATCGTAAATGTTTTGTCGAAACTTCTTCATCGTAAATGTTTTGTCAAGACTTCTTCGTTTATGTTTTGTCGAAACTTCTTCGTTTATGTTTTGTCGAAACTTCATCGTTTATGTTTTGTCGAAACTTCATCGTAATGAGCGTAAATGACCCAAAAATATAATTTAGGTGAAGAGGTGACATCTCACCTGTTTTCTCACCTCTTTTCTCACCTCATGAATTTTCCCGAAATAAAAATAAAGTTAGTTTTTTTTAAAAAAATATTTTTTATTTTTATTGTAAGAACATGTTAGCAACTACAGCACCAAACTCGCTAGTCATGAATCCTACGTCAATGTTGGTAGAGATGAAAAACTTCATTCCTTCTTCATATACTTTTGAAACAGAAATCCAGAAGATAAAGCAGGAATTGTTAACAAGTAATTTAGACTGTACCGCACAGGATGAAACAAATGAACAGTATCTTTATGAAATGCAGGACATTATTGACCATTTACCCAAATTGCCTGAAATTCAGCAGCAAAAACTCACTATTCCCGAATTTGACGAAATTGAAGTGAAACCAACTGACTCAGTAGAAATAAAGAAGTTCATACGAAAGGTAAATTATGAATTCCTTGGTTTTCATTGCAACCATAAGGTTATGGACAAAGATTGCGACATGGTATATAAAAATATTTCTGACATATATAAATCTGGGGAGTTTAAGACCTACGACAACTTTGTTTCGTTAGTTGCTGAATGTGTATGGGAAATAAGAGATAAAGATAGTAGGGGTAAGGTATGGAATGAACAGATAAGACCCGCTATGTTTGAGATGAAGAGAGCAATTGACGCCTTGGTTGTTTTAGCAGGTAAGGTTTCAGAATATAACGCAAAAATGAACCCACAATGTTCTAAATGTAAAGCAGCAATGAGGAAATATAACTACTCAGTCAAAGAGATAGAAAGAATGAGAAACGACTATGCAGATTTAAAGAAAGAAGCAGAAAAGCCAGCAGAAAATAAAATGGACATGTTAGAATTTCTGAACAAAAACTATCCAACAGCAGACGATTTCCTTCTATCTGATGTCAAGAAGAAGTATAAAGAGACTTTCGGTATCGTTAAAACATTTGACATACTAAAAGAAGAAATAGAAGCTACGAAATTGTTTAGAATTTCAAATATACATCGTACAATTCATGTAAAACGCTTATAAAATAACTAGGGTGAGAAAAGAGGTGAGAAAACGGGTGAGATGTCACCTCTTCACCTAAACATTATTTTTTACTGAATTCAGCAACAAAATTCTGAGTAAAATAATTTTTAGGGCATGTGTCAAACCGTTGAGTTTTCACAAAATTTAAAAAATAACGTTTACCATGTAAAACGCTTATAAAATAACTGAGGTGAGAAAACAGGTGAGAAAACGGGTGAGATGTCACCTCTTCACCTAAACATTATTTTTGTCTGATTTACGCTCATTACGAAGAAGTCTTGACAAAACATTTACGAAGAAGTCTTGACAAAGCATATACGAAGAAGTCTTGACAAAGCATATACGATGAAATCATGAAAATTCAAGAGGTGAGAAAAGAGGTGAGAAAACGGGTGACATCTCACCTCTTCACCTAAACATTATTTTTATTGAATTCAGCAACAAAATTCATGAATTTCCTTAAGATACAAAATAGAAAAAATAAAGTTAGTTTTATTTTTATTTATTTTTTTATTTTGTATGTAAAGACAGATATGTCAACAACAGAGAACACAACAACAGTTATAGTCCATGAAGCTATAAATGAAGAATATGAGTGGATACAATATAACAAACAATTGCGTCTCATTCGTTCGGTCAAAGATGACATGTACCAAATGCAAAGTATTTTGAATGCTCTTCGTTCTACAAAGCAAGCATATCATTGGTTTGAAAACCAACAGACAAAAGAACTTTTAGAAGAATTTCCTCATATGTTTGCTACCCTCGGAAAACCGAGGGTAGAGATTCCGTACGAAAATCGCAAGAATTTGGCTCCTGGTTTGAGAGGTTGGTATGTACATAGACTTCTTGTAAATGCTGTTGCAATGTGGGCTTCACCTCGTTATGCTTGTTATATTTTCATGATGTTAGATGAAATTCATAGACAAGAACGTGAAGAGATGGAAAACAAGCTTGAAGCAAAAGACAAAAGCATTCAGAAAAGAATACCACGTTCGGTACCAAAAGGAAAGGAAAAGAGTTATAAGTATATGATTTATACTGAAGAGATGGAAAATGAAGAAGATAAAGATATGGTTATGTTGCATTTAGTCAGAAGAAACCAAAAGCTTTTACGACCTTGCTAAGATTTACAATCTGACAGAAATTGGTTCTATCGCGAAAACTTACCGATTTCAATGACTCCAAATGAAGATGTTAAACAGATAGTTCAAGATACGTTACTCCAACACTATGATAGAAAGGTTGTACAATACTTACCTTCAAAGAAGATTTGCCATTGTTAAAGGAAAAAATAACAGAGTATTTTGACAACTTCAAACAAGCAGAGTAAATGAACTCTTTATTTTTACGCTTGACTTCAGATGGCTCAGGTAGCTCTATAAAGTAAATTGCCTTGTCAAATCCTTCTGGCATTCCGAGTCCTTCCTTCCGACAGGAAAAGTCCTTCCTTCCAACAGAAAAAGTCCTTCCTTCCAACAGAAAAAGTCCTTCCTTCCGACATTCCAAGTTCTTCCTTCCGACATTCCAAGTTCTTCCTTCCAACTGGAAAAAAAATTTCCCGACAACTGGAAAAAATTTCCTGTTGTTCGTCGTAAACCATTCAAATTTTCGAAAATTGAGAACTTTTTTGGTCGAACGACAGAAAAATTTTTCCTTCAGACAGGAAAAAAATTTCCCGACAACTGGAAAAGTTTTTTCTTCCGACATTCCGAGTCCTTCCTTCCGACAGGAAAAGTTCTTCTTCCAACAGGAAAAGTTCTTCCTTCCGACAGGACACAAACGAATGTCCGACGTACCACCAACCGAGTCCATTCCAAAGCCAGAAGAACCGACAGCCCCAGCACACAACAGACTAAGACTCAAACACTTACATTTTTCAAGCTTGACTTTTTACAATTTGAACTTTGTTTGCGTTATGAATTCTGAAGAAGTATGAGGGTCTTGTATGACTTTATACTTCTCCCATAGTTCATGTCTGTCAAACTTACCTTGGACTCTTTATAGTTCCATGAAATCGTCTTCGGACAATCCAGGGAAAAGTATTATGTCAGTCAGTATTCTCTTTACATCTTTACTTAAACCTTTGCTGTCTGTACACAAATGACAACTGAGATGTTAAAGTGTCTGAGCTTCTTAAGAATTCGACACATGTCTTGTTCTCTATTCTTTAACAAAGGATGAGAAGCAAAGTCATCTAAGATAAGAAGACATCTGTGAGGTTAAGTCTTCCAATCGTAAGATTGCAATTTCTTCGAATGTATTCTATCTCTTTCTGTTTTTCTGAAGTGTTTCTTCTCTAATATTCTCTGCATTTCCTCATTTGGGTCTTTAAACTTAGAATTTATATACTCATTTATAGCATTGTACTTCAAAACTCTTCTTTGGTACTTCTTTATCCAATCTAACAACTCAGAGTCTTTTATACATACTAACTTAGACTTTTTATAATATCTTTGAACGAATTGACGGTTTGGTCAAATTGACCAGAAGTACTACAAATAACAACTAACTCATAGAATGGGTTTCTTCTCATCTAGTTCTTGTTGTTGTGCAGCCATTTTAAGATAAGTGAAAGTCTTACCCGACCAGGTGGTGCAATTAGACCTGTTATACCATTCTGAGCAAATAAGAACTTGTCATGTATAGGCTTTATCTGAGCATTTTCCAACTTCCTCTTGTTCTTATTTAAAACATTCTCAAATTTCTTGTCAATGTCAGCAAACTTTTTTTCTAACATATTTTTAGAAAAATTAAAATTTTTATCTTTTTGAAAATGTCGAGCGATTTCGCTATCTATATTCGAGACAAACTTTTCGACAGCAAAACATCTGTCGACCATAAAATCTTACATAGTGTAAACAAGAAAGGGAATTTGTTCTAAAGTTCTGTTTCTGGGAATATGACAAGAACCATAAAACATTAAGCAGAGCAGTCTTAAAATTTGTCAATGACAGACTTGTTGACAGAGATGACGCCGATTGGAAAGATGAAGTCCAACAAAAGTTCTTAGAATGCAAAGAAGACACATGCGCTGTTCTTGAAGATGAAATAGAAAACAGAATAGATGAGCTATTAAAGGACAAAGAACTTTTACATAAATATGGTTGCGCCAAATTTGACATAACTCCACCAGAGAAGAAGAAGAAGAGAGAGAAGAAAGAAAAGAAAGTAGAAGAAGAGAAGAAAGAACCAGAGCCAGTTCCAGAGAAAAAGAAATTTGACATGTAAAAATAAAATTTTATTTTTAGAACATTTCTGGGTCAATGTCAATGTTCTCTTCCTCTTTAGGAGCAAACACTGGTTTAGACTCTAAAATCTTTTTACCCAATTTACCTTGAACTTCAACTATCTTAGACTCATAATATTCATAGTCGTCTGTCTTCTTTGGTTCATAAGGTATAACAAGTTTGTATGCTTTGCCTTCTTTAAGGTTTGAAAACCTTCTGTCAAAACTTTCTTTGACTGTTAACAAACCTTCTATGTCTAAGTCTTCAAATTTCGCACCATTTTTAGTCACAATAGCAAACTTAACTGGTTCGATGTTCCAAACTTTGTCAAATGTAGACTTTTCAAAATGGTAGAAGTAAACATTCAAATAAGCGAATGGGTCTAGTTCTTCTTTAAGTCCTGACATGTACTTGTTTACTGAGATGAATTTTGCCATCTTTTCTATCGGATAAAAAAATATTTTTTTAAAATTTACTCAGAAAAATTTTTCTTTGTATATACGCCGTTCTGAACATCTAAAAGACTTTTGACATTTGCCAAGAATGTTCGTTTAGACGCTGTCATATAACCATACTCTTGACAATATTGTTTATATTCATCGTACAATGACCTTTCATCTAAACACTCAAAGTCGCTTTCTTCTATGAACAGTTCATATACACTCTTGTTTGCTTCTAACAATGTTTGTCTTTCTTCGGTATGTGGAATTTGTCTTGGATTGAACTTAGAAATATCTAATGTCATGAAATATGAGAACAAGTGGTTGTAAAAGTCAGATGTCAAAGTTTCTGCTAAGTCGTCAAAATATTCTGTATCTTGCATATGAGAATCTGACGTTCTGACAACTACATATCTTCTGTCAGAACTTTCTAACTTCATCGGAACAGCATTGTTTGAAACCATAATGAAGTTTGCAACATTTTCACAAACTCTTTGGTCTTTATATTTTCTTTCAACAACTCCAACTTTGTCTGTTATAAGACTCTTCAAAGCATCTGAGTTCAAAACTTTTGTTGTATCTATACTTTGAAGTTCATTGCAAACTATAAGTTTCATATTCTCTATTGAGGAGTTAAATTTACCGCAGATGTTTTCTATGTTTGTCATATTCGGGTTCGAATAGCCCTCTAACAGTTTGCACAAAATATCTGTAAAGAATGTGTTCTTACCAGTTCCTTGTTTTCCAATTATAATGAGAGCAGTTTCATTTTTAGCACTTGGATGTTGTAAGATGTTTGCAAACCAACATAAGATATACTCATAGACTCTTTCGTTTCCATTGCATATAATTTCTTTGACATGGTCTAACCAAGCTTCTATAATATTTTTCTTTCCATTCTACTTGTTCGTATTTATATCCAGTGAAGATAGAATAGAAGTTTGGAGAAGGTGTATAAAACTTTATACCTCGAACTGAAAAATCTTCTAACTTTGACAATAAGATATCCCAAGATCTAACATCTTCATTCCAACTTGTACAACTTTTATTTTCTTAAGTTTCTGTCGACATTCCTGTTCAGACACTATTGTTGCTCTTGTTTGTTAAAGCAACATCCCATTCTTTCATAACATAACATTCTGGGCAGAGTCAACATAAATGACTAAACGTTTCAAATTCTCGACTGCTTTGTTATAGTCTCTAAATGGACACATATTTCTGAATGCTTGAAGTCATAAAAATCTGAAACATCTATTCTGTACATTTTATAAAATAAAAAAAATATTATTTTTTTATTCTTGACTTTTTTGTTCCATTTGTTGCATTTGTTGTTCTTGAGCTATTTGTTGTTGAAGTTGTTCTTGTAAATACAATACTTTCACCGGTTGCATCTTCCAATTCGAAACTTTCTGCCGTCATTGACAAATACATAGGACATAAAAGTTTTACAGGAACAAAGTTTGCGTCAACTAATGTCAACGTGTATACTTGCCAAAGTGTTTGAGTTCACTAAGGTTGAAAATTTCTGCATTCGAATGAACAATAGGCAAACCAGCAGAGAAAGTATTGTTTATACGCATAAGTATCTTTTGGTCATAATAGTTTCTGTCGACATTCGAATAGCACTTTGAACCTAAGTTTGAAACAATATATAAGATTGGTGTGCTTAATGTCAATGGAATAGACATTCCTTGTATGACACTTTTCCTGTTATAGGAAACTGTTGGTAGTAAAAACCAGAAATAAGTTTTGTATTATAGCTCATATCGTTTATAGTAAACTCAGTCGGACATCCAAACATAATGAAACCTGCTCTAGTTGCAGCACATGTTACACTCGTCCTTAAAGTATTAAATAAGTCACAAAACCTGTTGGTGGTATATCTGAGTAAGTATCTTCAAAGGAGTATTTTTTACCATTCACAACAATAAAATCTTCTGTGTCAAAAGAGCAAAACAGGCTTTAGTCGTCATTGTGTTTAAGGTTAGTTTACAATATCGTCCTGAGGACTTTGTAAGTTTGTTGTTATAGAATTATATGACTCAGGGTTTTAGTCGTAATAGTATAAACATTATGTCTTCTGCCATTTACTTAGCAAATAAATTTTAATGAAATGTTGTGGTCGTCAAATATTTTTATAACGTCTGGGAAACTATACTTTAAGTTCAACGTTTCACCTCCTTTCATAACGTATATCTTGTCAATGACATATATATGAAACACACCACAGCAACTAATGTCGGGTTCTATTCTTTGATGTTTATATCGTCTGCCTCTGTCAAAAGTTTCAATAGTTCTTTCAAAATTTCATGAGGTGCAATGACATATGAGTTCACTTTTACAGGGTTGTGTTCGACCAAGTTTAACATTATACCTAAAGCTTGACAAATCTTCTCCTGAGTTTGAAGTTTGTCTTTAAGTGTTGGTAGTCATTTCGAATATCTGCAACAGAACTTAAGTCTCTGCTAACTTCAGGATATGTTGGTTGTTCTTTTACAGGAACTATTGTTATACCCATCTTCGTCTTCGTATGGTTTCCCCACTTCAACATCTCTTTCTTTGACATTGACAACAACACTTTGACTGTTTGTTTGAGTTGGTGAATTTAACTTCACATCTGCCACCGCCATTAAACCTTTTGAAACACTCACGCTTCTATTTTTTCGGAAATGAATTTTACTTAGAATAAAAAGATGGACGTATTTGAGTATCTCTTCGAATTGAAGCAAACAAAGTTTACACACACAAACAATACAAATACATTGACAGAATAGTTCTTTATACAAACAATGGTAAATGTTATAGAATAGCAGTCTTTGCTGAACCAAAATATTTTCATAAAGCAAAGAAAGTTGGTATAACTGAAATGGTGAAAGTTCTTGAAGCAGACAAAAATATAACTTCAAAACTTACAGATATTTCTAAAGGAAAGTTTATAATACAATATTAGTCAAAACTGGCGTACTGTCAATATTTGACGGAGAGAAGTCAGTTCAAGAACAACTTACTGACCTGCTGCCAAAATCTGCTCGATGGAAGCTGTCGTTATGCCAATCTGAGGAGCCCCAGCAGGTTTCATCGAACGAATCTTCAAAAGAGCATCTTCCGTGAAAAGTGCTATTGGTTTTGTAAACTTCTTTGCTTTCAATTCATCTGGACCGTCTCTGTCACCAGTATATTGTATTTGTACAGTACCAACAGTTGAAATACCACCCATAAAGTCTTCTGAGTCAGCAAATGGAATGCCAAGCCAAAAGTTTGAACGGTCTCCATTTGTATATTGAGTTTTTGACCTCCTGTATGAGTCCATACTTTCACATATGGCATAATAGAACTTTGCATTTCAGGGTTAATGGTGTTGTGAAGTTGTTGTTAAAGTTCATAGCATCTAATGTCAAGTTGTATGACCTCATATCCTCAACTGTAGAATATTCTTCTCTTGGATAATATTTGCCATCTATGTTTATATGATATTTAATACCGGGGTTGTAGAAACAAGAATAGTCATTTATAGTTCGTCTGAAACAGTACAAACATAGTATCTGCATGTTTCATTGCAGTTGTTAAAGCAATATCTGTTCTTGCACCTGGTCAGCACTTTGGTTTCCAACTTCACCTGCAAAGTCTTTGACAGATATTTGGTGTATAGGGAACATAAGTGGAACTGCAATATATTTGGCAGCTAAAGCATTTGAAATATCTGGGTCCAACATATAGACTGCAAGTCTGCTTTCTATTCTCTTGCATTCAAACTTTTCGCATGTAAACTTAACTGGGTCCCAAGCAGTTCCAGCAGCATTGAAATAATAGTTTACTTCAGTGTTGAGGTTTGAGAAACCAAAGTCTAAGTCAACTTTGTCTTTGCAAAAGTCGGCGAATGACGTTTTATTTGTTCCCTCTACGTCTGTAATAGTGAATGGTCTTGTGTTGGTGCAATGACTAAGTTATTTTTGCTTGGAGTAAGTTCAATAGAAATTTTTCCTGCCCAGTTTGGCAAGTATCTTAAAAACCTGAAGATGAGGAAAGATGACAAAGGAACTCTAAGTTCAGTTTTACTTTGGTTACTGCTGCTGCAGTTTGTCCAGAAAGGTTAACATAAACTCCTGGAACGTTAGGGTCAAGTCTTCTTATTTTCTCAATAGTTGCATACTGGTCTGTTTGTTCGTCTAGCTTGTGGTTGTACTGAGTTTCTCAAAGCGAACCATTCATAGTTTGCCCATGTTACTGTTTGAACTAAGTCAGAGTTAGAATATATCTTATATCCCATGAAAACTTCTGGAGCATATTGGTATCCGACATAGAAAATTCCATTGCAACCTTTCTTGTCAGACAACTTGGCAGAATTTTATTTCAATGTCTTGTTCCACGTATAAGAAAGAGTTGTCAATAGAAAATAATATGAAACCTGTCGCAAGCAATATCTACTGTTGTTGAAGAACCTTCTCCAAACTCACCTACGTTTCCATAAGAAACAGCAGTTGTATATTCGTAAGTTCCAGGAACTATTTCTGACCTTCTAATGGCATTGTCGCATTCGTTATACCATTCGGAAACATTTCCATTCATGGCATCCAAAACTGTTGGCGTTATATTCTGAGCGGCGTACATTTCATATGAGTAAAAATATAGAATAGTTGGATTTATATGTCATAATAGAACCCACTCCGACCAAGCTTTACTTTCTTCCTGACTGAGTTTTTAACTCTTCTTTTTCCTTCATTGCCCTCTGCTTCAAGTTGTTGCATCTTTGCCTCATGTTCACCTAGTATGTTGTAAATTTCCCATGTCCTTTTTGCCTTTGGGCTCTGGTCGCCCATCTCAGGTAACCAATATCCTAGAAAGAGTTTGTCATAGTTTGTATTTGAGTCTTCGCGTATTGTTTGCATGACTCTTTCCTGAGTTTCCGGTTCAAGCTCTTCAAACAGTGCCTGTCCATATGGAATATGCTCGTTTCCAAATATATTTTT